GGGCACTGACCTGCCTGGCCCTGCACTGGCCCTGGAAGGCGTGAGACCCTGCCCACTCCGGGGTGGAGGTGCCCGTTGTCGGGGACCAGGGGCCGCGTTCCAGCCCGTTGTGCCCCATACTACCTGTGTGACCTCGGGCTAGTCGCTTGGGCTCTCTGAGCCATTTTCCATCCCGCAGTTGTGAGGACAGTTCTGCCGGGTTTCGAGTTGAGGGGGTGGTTCTGCGGGGCGCACACATGTTGGCTCTAGCACACCCAGGGCATGGACCAGGTGCCTCCCTGCCTGGTGGGTACCCAGCACACAGTGAGGGAATGGCACACGTAGCCTGCGCTATGTTCCCTGGGATCCCTGCTTTGGGCTGCTTCCTCCTGGACTGGGTGGGCACCTGGAAGCCGCAGGTCCTGCACCCACACAGGTCCTGCTCTGTGAGGGTGAGCAAGAAGCAGTCACACTCATTTTACTTTTTTTTAGGAAAAATGCTTATGGGACAGTATGACACAGAGCTTCTCTTGTCTCCCAGGGCCAGCCGGGGGCGGGGGGGTTGTTTTCTGCCCCTTTCTCACTACAAAGAACAAAGAAGAAAGGGCCGATGATGCAAAGCCTGGTCGGCCCAGGAGGCCCTGTCCTGGGGAACCTGGGCTGTGGTCACATGGGACCTGTGGGCCAGGAGGGCAGCTCCCTGGCCACCTCCTTCCCTACCCCCACCCAAAGCAGCCTGACCCCCGTACTCACCCCCTGGGAGGGATTGGCACCTGTGGCCCTGTTGACCCAAACCTCAGCCTCTGGCCAGGCCCCCACCCCAGCCCCTCCTCCACCTGAGGGTATGTTTCTTTCAGCAACTTTTGTCCTAAATGAAGGAGGATTGACTTCTCTAGTAAAAATGCTCACCTCCAGCTAGGCAGGATTAGCAGCCGTGGGGGCTGAAGGTGGTAGCCCCATTGGCACATCTGAGACCTGGCATGTCCTGGGAGAGGCCTGCATGCTCCTAGTAGCCCCCAGGGCCTGAGAGGGGGCTAGGAGGAACAGGGCCAGGCCTGGAAGGTGCTGTGACCACCTGGGAGAGGAGGTGACAGTGAACTGAAAGGTGCCTCTTGTTTTGAGAAGGGAGGCGCCTCCCCTCATGTCTGTTTTATTTTGCTTTCCCGATGCCCAGGCAGGTACTATGCTGCCTGCGCCGTGCCCACCGTGGGGCCCTGGAGGGTTAGGCTCTGTGTCCGATTGTGGCTGGGCACAGCTTCTAGGGGCCCTTGGAGTGGCCCAGAGCCCCCTGTCCATTGTCCAAGGCTCCTTTGGGCATCACTGCCCCATGCCCTGCCCCCCGGGTGCTGTTTTGCTGCAGAATGCTGCCAGGAGGGTCAAGGGCAGCAGGCAGCCACAGGACGCTGACTGCTGTCTGGCCCAGGGGGTACTCAACCCCCCTGCGGAAGCAGGGAGGACAGCTTTGGAGGCAGGCCTCCCTGGGAGGCCCTGGCTGAGCATGTTGCCCTCAACGACGTGGCCACTGGAGAAATGATTTACAGCTCTTTGATCTCTCCTTTTGCCCCGTGCCCTGGCTCAGTCCTCACAGCTGCTTCTCGCCTGGACAAGGGCTGCTTCCTGCGTGGACACCTTGCGCCCAGGCCCAGTGCCCTCTGTCCTGTCCAGCTGGCTGATGTGGCTGAGTGGAGCACAAAGCCCTCTCCGTCCCCACCCACCTTCGCTGCCCTACCACCCAAGCCCCTGGGCGGGGACAGAGAAGGAAGAGAAAGGTGCACCCACTGAGCTACTTAATCCTCATAGCACACTGAGGGAAACTGAAGCAGGAGGGTCCGTAACCTGCCCAGGGAGGCCCAGCCAGAACACGACTGGGGCTGGACAGAGTGGGGTGTACGGGGACAGATTCCAGGGTGGCCCTCCCAGGAGTGTCCTTTCCCCTCTCCCCCACCGGACTCCCAGCATCTCTTCCAAGCCCACCATGTTTCTTCAGCCTGTCTCTGAGTCCCCATAACTTCTGATCCCTCTTGAGAAGTGGCATGGCTAAGAAATGGGGCTCTGGAGTCACCTTGCTGGGGTCTACATCCTGCCTCAGTGCCCTCATCAAAATGGGACTGATGACCCCCACTCCTGCAGCAGGTGCTGTGAGGACTCAGACACATAGGTGAACTACTTCTCACGGGCCTGGTGGGCTCACGTGTCAGCCGGCATTGTTCCTTGTAAAGCAAAATAGTGTGGACTAGAGGTTGGCGCCAGGTGTGGGCGTGGAGTCCCATCTGCACCCAGCTGGGCACCCTTAGGAGACCTCTGTGTCTCCTGTGCCCCAGTTCCCCATCTCTAAGCTGGGGTGCTGAGAGGACCCAGCCCGTGGGGTCTTCGTGTGGGAAAGGGCCCGGAGGGAGCCGGGCTGGGCGGGCCCTGCGGCGGGGCCCGGCGTGAGCAGCTGTACTCCCGACAGGTGCATCTGCAGACGCAGCAGGAGGTGAAGCTGCGCATGACGGGCATGGCCCTGCGGGTGGTGCGCTCCGATGGCGTCCTGGCACTCTACAACGGCCTCAGTGCCTCCCTGTGCAGACAGGTGCCTCCGGGGCTCCCCCCTCCCGGGACGGTGGGTGGCTAGGACTCCCGGGAGGGCACTTCTGCCTCCCAGGGGCCCCCCACCGCTGCAAGGTGAGGGCTTCCCTAAGCCCTGGTCCCAGAGCCCATGCAGGTAGAGGGAAAGACTGGTGTCCCTGGCCTGGACTCAGACGCACTGTGGGTGCCCTGTGGGCATGGGAGTTACTTTGTCCTCCTTTTCAAGGCTGGGTAGGAGAAAGGAACCACACGGCCCCAGGAGTCGGCAGGGTGTGGTGGCCTGGGAAGTGCTTCTGCCTTCCACCGGGCCAGCCCTGCTCTCACAGCTGGCTCAAGACCTCCACTTAGACATGGGGAAACTGAGCCTGGGGAGGGAAACTCTGGACTCAACCAGCCCCGGGTTTGTGAATTGGCTCAGTCACTTGCTGACCGTGTGGCCTTGGGAGGGTCCTTCACTGTCCCCATGGCCCATTTCGTGATGATTGTGCACCAGAAGGGCTGGGGTGGGGAGGGCCGACATGCCCAGCAGGGTTCCCCCACGTGCACCCTCTGAGCTGGGCCCCTTTTCCCCCAGATGACCTACTCCCTGACTCGGTTCGCCATCTATGAGACCGTGCGGGACCATGTGGCCAAGGGCAGTGAGGGGCCCCTGCCCTTCTACAAGAAGGTGCTGCTGGGCTCCATCAGCGGTGAGCTGCCAGCCGGGCTGGGGAGGGTGGGCGCAGGTGGGCATTGCAAGTCATCACATGTTGGCTCTGGGGTCTGTCGCCCCAGGTTGCATTGGAGGCTTCGTGGGGACTCCCGCAGATATGGTCAATGTCAGGTCAGTGTGTGCCCCCACCCAAGGTCAGGGTCTTTCCCGACTTCTGACGGGGCGGGAGGCTTACTTGCTAGGGTCTGCGGTGTGTTCAGCCTGGAACAAGCCCTCGGACCTCGGGGCCTGGACACGGGGGACTGGGAGGCAGGCCAGGGTGAGCCCCGATGCCCGCCAGCTTCTGTGTGGGGCGTATTTGGCCCCCTGCCGCCCCCCTGAGCCTGTGGTTGTTTCAGGATGCAGAATGACATGAAGCTGCCCCCGAATCAGCGCCGCAAGTGAGTAGCGGGCGAGTTCTGCTCTTGGTTGGGGGGGGTGCCTGGGGCGGGGCGTGCAGAGCAGGAAGCCCTGAGCGCCTCTGCCAGGCCCCGGCTGGGAGTCCCAAGAGGCCTCGTTGCCTGTGGCGTCACCTGGAGCAGGCAGAGGCTGCTGCCGGCGCCCTCATCCGCCCGGAGTTGGGAGGGCCTCTGGGTTCTTTCCTGGTGGGGGAATCTGGGATGGAGGCTGGCTGCTTTCCCCCCTTTTCTGATATCTTGTACTTGTTCACAGGAAGGATGGTTTACAAGTTTAAGTGAGGGGGTTTGGGCCTTTAAACAAGTTTGGGGGCTGGGATTTTTTTTTTACGGTAAAAATACCGTTTTTCATGAAGTCTGAGATCCTATTGATTCCAAGGCTGCCCACGGACGGACGCCCCAGCTAGAGAGCAGGCATTGGCTACAGTCCAGGGGTAAAACGGGCTCCGGACAGGCCCCACCCTCTCACCGTCAGGACCAGCCCGCAGACAGACCCAGCCTCGGCGGGGCGGTGTTCAGGCACTGTTGTCCCCTGACCCCTGTGGCAGCTGCATGGCTCTCCCTGGGGAGGACCCTCCCCTGGGGGCCATGGGTAGGGAGGGCCTCACCCCCGCCCCTTGTCTGTCCCTGGCAGCTACGCCCACGCCGTGGACGGCTTGTACCGGGTGGCCCGAGAAGGTAAGAGGAGCAGGCCCTTTGTTTGGGGGGTCCAAGGAGGCAGAGGGGCCTGGGGAGTATTGTGCAGGACCTGGGGGGAGGCCTGAGGGGTGCGGCTGGGCGCCTGACCTCCTTTCTCCGGCAGAGGGTCTGAAGAAGCTGTTCTCGGGCGCGAGCATGGCATCCAGTCGAGGGATGCTTGTCACCGTGGGCCAGGTGGGGCTTCTGCTGGCGGTGGGCCTCCCGGGACAGCATCTGGGGGGCCCGCCCTCAGCCCCTGGAGAGGTGGGGGAGGAAGGCACTGGGCATGGACCACAGGTGGGGGCTGGGGCGGTGGGTAGGCCCCTCCCAGTCCGGGCCTCCCCCGTCTGCCCGGTCACAGTAACTGGAGGTGAGCTGCAGAGCAGGCACTTGGTCAGTCCCGGTGATGTCCCTGTGGGCCCCTGTCTACCCTTCCTGGGGCCGGGGGCCATCCCACAGGCCCTGCTCACCCCTCCCCCCCACAGCTGTCCTGCTACGATCAGGCCAAGCAGCTGGTCCTCAGCACCGGGTACCTGTCTGATGGTGTCTTCACTCACTTTGTTGCCAGTTTCATCGCGGTGAGTGCTGGGCCTGGCCGTTGGGGGAGGCGCGGGGGCGGGGGAAGGCTGAGTAGTCTTGGGAGCTGAGGGTGCCCGCCGGGACGAGGCCAGGGCTCAGAAGGCAGGAGGCTGTGGGCAGGTGTGGCGGATGTCCCTCTCGGGCTGCATACGTACGTGGGCGCTGAGGCCCCGGTGCCCAAGCTGGGATGGTTTCTAGTGTCCCCAGCAGCCCAGGGTCCTATAGCCCTGAGGATGCCTCTGGGGGTCCGGGCCCGGGGCTTCTATGGGGGTGGGTCTGTGGGGGAGGATGACGGGTGCCCATGTACTCTGCCTGGCAGGCCCATTGGTGATAAGCCCCCCTCCCCACAGGGTGGCTGCGCCACGATCCTGTGCCAGCCCCTGGACGTGCTGAAGACGCGTCTGATGAACTCCAAGGGCGAGTATCAGGTGAGTGGGGGCTGCAGGCACTGTCCCCCTCAGGAGTACAGGCCTGGGGGCCAGGACGGGGGACAGGGAGGGGTCCCCACACTGTTGTTATCAGGCTCCAGGCTCCATGGCTGGGTGAGCCCGTGTCCCTGTCCTGGCACGTGGAGGAGGCTTTCTCCCCCCTGCACGAGCACATTCTCCCCAGTTGCTGTTTCCAGCCAGCCATGGAGCCGCCCTTGGCCCTTTTTTAAAGACTTTATTTTTTTTAAGTCGGCTCCACGCCGAGCGTGGGGCTTGAACTCACGACCGTGAGATCAAGGGTCGCGGGCCCTACTGCTGGAGCCGGCCAGGCGTCCCCCTGTGTTTAAATCCGATTCCTTGGTGTTCACAGAGGCGGCCCGTTCACTGCAGTCAGTGAAAGTCGGTGAGCTGCCGCATTCTACTGGGCAGGCCCAGGACCCGGTGACCCACAGGCACGCACGGCCACTTCTGTGTCCCGGCTGTGCCCTGCTCCTCTTCCCAGCCCCCCACACGCTGTGGGTGCCCGGCGGGTCCCGTGCATGTTTCTGGTTTTGCTGTGTCAGCAGGCAGGGTGGCCTTGACGTCTTGGCTGCTGGCTTCTCCAGCTGTCATGACCTTTGACCGGTCCAGGCCGCTCACTGCACAGGGCCCCTGGCTAGTGCTGGGGGAGGGGCGTGTTATTTGTATTCTGCAAGTAAAATGCAGCTTTTTTTATTGCTTTATTTTGTGTTTTCTGCAGGGTGTTCTCCACTGCGCAGTAGAGACAGCAAAGCTCGGGCCGCTGGCCTTTTACAAGGTTGGGCTGGGCAGGGGCTGGGCGGGACTGGGGGGGATTGGGGGG